TTTCAATTAATCAAATAAAAGTTATTTCAATTAATTAAACAATATTTCCAAACATCCACGATTTATCCCTATTTAAAATAAACGCGAACGCATCCCTAAACTTGTACAATTTATCATAAACTATCTAATCAATTTCGAAAACGATTCGGCGTTTAATATCAAATCCACGTTTTCTCAAAGGTTTCGTGGACCGAAATTACGGCATTGTGCTAAATAAATTGTTATTAATGACCAAAACGTTCCGTACTTGCGAATAACAAAAGCCGCTCGTATTTTGTGGATAAATTTCGAATTCCTTGCATACGCTTAGACGTCGAGATTATGGATGGAGATTTTTCATCACAGTCAATATAACAACAAGGATAATTAAAACTAATAGTCCCTAATTGATGGCGAATTTCTTAAGTGATGTTGTCTCATAAATAGTTCACTTAGATATAAAATTAAACTTGTATATAGCACCATTTTAGCTGTAAACATAAACGCAATCACTTCATAATCTGCGTATAAAATGTACTATATTATTTACAGCGAGTAAATGAAGTAAGTTTTTAGTAGGCTGGCGAGTTTTCGGTATTCATGAGCGGGTGCGTGAGGTATGTGAGGTGGTGTCAGTAATTATTCAGCAAGATCACCACTAAGCAGAGGCAGGTTCATATTTCCTATGAGCAGATAATCTGCTCTCAGCATTAAACTTGTAAAGTGCTCCGCTCCATATGTCCTCGGTAAAAGGGAGGGTTGCTTTCTATTCATACACTGTGATACTCTTTTACGGTTCAAGCAAAAACACGCCAAACGTTGGCGAAAGATAAACCCCGGGGCGGTACGAACGCTGTTGAATTTTACGATTCCGCTAAGCCGCCTTAAAGTCGAGCCCTTCCTGAATATTTTGATTTATTTATAGGCGTGAAAGCGTAAAAGGGTGGTCCAAAAACAATATACCGCGTCGTTCAGCTGGCGCGCTACTTGGGACACTTAACATTATACGCTCCTATGAATAAACCTACATATTTATACCCTACCGTTCTGGGATACTCATTTCCTGGCTTTGGGACTTTTAAGAAATTACCGTAACTGTGTGTAAATTACATTGTGAACAAATTACTCCTCGTAATTATTAGTTAAATACGCAACAACCCATACAAGTTGGCTGAAAACTTTTCTACTTAATTCATTAGTATGTGATATAATCGTGTGAGAAGACGCAGGCCGCATTAAGCACTTGCCGCTCGCGAGTCGCGCTTCTAACACTTCATTGTGATGCTAATTTAGGGCAGCTCTATGAATATGGGGGCGGCACTCCCAACGCGCGCACTTTTTGCCTCACCGCGCTAAATTAATTTGAATAATACCGCCGATAGGCAACGAGCTTCGCCGAAATGTCTTTTATATGAGTTTCCGACGTGAAAACTCCGTTACCGTGCAGCCCTTATATTATTACTCAAAATACATGCATTAAAATGTTTATTTTAATTGTTAGTCGTATGTTTATTTATATTAGCCAAGATACATCGACAGTTGAATAAATCCATTTAATCAAAAGATCCTGTGCACTGTTTTTTCTTCCATCTCTTTGAGAGTAAACAAAACGAATGTTCCATTAGACAATGGAATACACTCTCGCTCGCATGGAGCCCGATAAAATAAATTTCACTTAGCTGTTAATCACGTCCCTAAAGCGTGTGTGTGTCCATGTACTCGTGCAGGTAATGGCGTGAGCACTAAGACAAAATTGGCTTAAGTAATCTCTCGGTCGGAGTATATCTGTGGCGGCAGCGAGGCTCGGGGCGCGCGCTCCCAGTCTCCGTCTCGGTCTCGCCGCCCAATCCCGATGTGGAATGCACTTGAGTTTCACACGTACGTGTTCGTCATAGAAATTACTCGGGCAATTTTTAAGTGAGCCTTTCCCGCTGCAACACTCACGGGTATTCAAACCCGTCCCTATATACTGGAGCACTTAAAGGAGGTAAAGCCACTCTTAAACAAATGAAAGAGCTTTCGTTCGTCGTTTTTGCCTCACGGCAATCCGCTTTACTAAAAGGCGGTGAAAATTTTATGCACGCCAAATAAAAGTACCTATAAGTACCTATCAGATTGGGTGCTTGTGTACGCGTGTGCGGATTATATAAACAAGATGAGTTTGTTGTCATTTTGAAAATTAATAACAAAATTAACATTTATTACACACCCTAATGGCAGATTAAAGATGATGATATAATAACAATGTGAAACTTGTATGAAGTTAAATATTTAACAAAACGTAAGGCCATTGAGTATCTAGTTCCAAGTTTTAATCATTCTTAATTAATCTAAGCTCCTTAATACACTTAATGTTTATTTGGAAAATCGCTACGCATTTTTGCACCATTAATTTTATTTGTATAATTTAACTCATTTAATTTAGGCGTCAAATTACTTTTCAGTCGGACCCTTTGGCCGGCGAAAAGTTCAAATTTTTTCTCAGAAAGCCTAAGATTAGGTCATTTAAGGTTCATTTTGGTGCGTGATTTAAACGTCGCACGCCGCGCCACGCCGTTTTGTATAGACGGGCTTTTTAGCCTGCTCACAATACGCTGGCTGCTGTAATGTAGACAACGGTGATTTGATAAATGAGTTGAGTTTTTTATGTGAAAAGACTAACGTTTTACGTTCAAACCTGAGCTTGTTTTGACAAAACCTCTGCGGTTCCCACAACGGAGTCTGTCGCAATGGAGCCCTCTCGCCGTTTTTCTAATGAATTGTGTAGGCAAAGAGAAAATAACAAGGAAAACTCTCGAATGGAAGGTAATCGCTGTGATAATGGAGTTCATATTGAGCGTGTTTAGTGAGAAATTTCAGTGGGCTACCATAATTACAATTATTTTAAGCCAGTAATCTTATTTGAATTCTGCTCCATTTGATCTGGGATAAAAAGAAAACAAGGTGTTATTTTGTGGTTTATTTTAGAGGCACGAGTGTATAACGCTTTATCTAATGGATCATAGCCGTGAAATATCTCATTTCTAGTACTACGAGCCAGTTGCAATGGGCTTGATCGTTGTAGCTTGATAAACTTGTTCTACGAAACATTCTAGGTTGAGTTTATAATAACATCATTATTTCATACTCTGTTATAAAGAATGCTCAACTGAATGATAAAATCGTTATTATGAAAACTGTTTAATGGTTGCTTTTTATTTACTATATCTGTGAAGTGAAACATTTTTTCGGCTGAGTTAACGTCTTATTTACTTAACAGATACACTAAAAAGATATACGAGTACTAAAGTAACGCGTCCAGTATCTTTTTAATAAACCCAACCGTAAACTCGGCAACATTGCGGCAAAGTAATATCACTAAAACTCCCACAATATTATTTTCCGTTACTCAGATGCGGCAAAAGCGTTTAATATTTAAAATAATCACAGTATTGTCGGAAACGGTGTCGACAGCTAATGTTCGGTGGCAAACCGCTACACGGCCGGCCCGCACTTTACCTATACGTACTACGTAGCTAGGTAGCCATGACAACCGCGACGTATGTTTGCCCACAAACTGTTTGCTCGCATATCCGTTGTGCTACCTATTATTTGTACAGAGAATTAGACGTAACATTTTACCCAAATAAAGGTATCATTGCCTTATTGGTTCTTTGGCATTGAATAGGTTTGTTTAATCGGTTTGAATAGCATTGTTGAGGTTGGTATGATATTTCATTCATTGGTGTTGGAATACATGTGTGCGATAGTAACATTTTGAGGTTCCATATTCATAGAAGTGATGAGTCTTATAATATAATATGATTACTTCACGGTTTAATCTTGTGCGGTTTCTGATAAATATGTATTAATTTTAAAACAGAAATCAGAGATAACGAATATCTTAATTTTGATTATGTCAAGGACACGTAATTATTGAAATTGGTATCGTTTTAAGAGCGTCTTGAATTTCTCAGGAATGTTCGGCTCGATAAGGGCGTCATTAAAACATTCTCGAATCCCGGAATTTGTTAAGTACTTACATACATTTACTCGGTAGGTATATTGTCAAGGAAACTTTATCATGTCACTAGCTGTGTTCGAGAATTTCTAACATAATCCTTTTGTTTGAATTTGTACCTGACGATTTCAAAGACACTTTCTTGATAACCTTGCAGAAATTGTGAAGAAACAAAAACGGTACATGATCCATTGATATATCTATTTATAGTAAAACAATTATAATTATGTATTGGCGCATATCTCAAGTCTGTGCAGAAATAGAAACCGGTACAGACAATGCAGACAAGGTCTTGCGCTGGGTACCTTACGTAGGTAGCAGTAGAAACCTTGTTACGGTTAACTGAAAATATAGCTTTAGCTGTACGTACGACTGGTATCGTTGAATAACAGGAACGTCATGAATACGAGAAGTTTAATGAGGTGACATTAAGAATATGTTGTGCATTGCGGAAATGCGAGCCGAGTACGTATTATGAGCACGCTTAAATCTCAGTCAGTCAAATTAATTATTAGTTCTACTCTGTGCAGCCGGGACAAATTGACGCTTGTTTCGCTGGAACACTCGTATAATTAAATACACAAGCATTTAATCAAGGTACTGTAACACTGTAAACTCGTGTACGTAATCCTTCAGATATGTTCTAACGTTGCCGAGGTAACTCGAAGTAACCCGACGTTACCCGACGCCACCTGACGTCAGTTGGCTTAAGTGCTACGTACGTAGTAAGAAAGCTGGGTTGAGTTGGTTGAGCCCATCTTAACCCGCAGCCGCCGCGGGCCGCGTAGGACCTGTCCTAATAACCGAGTACAATAGTGGCCCTGAGCAAACAACGCTGGCTTATTGCTACTCGGCACTCCGCAATAACAGCGGTAAAAACAATAGCGCGGCCATGCTCCTTGTGATTGCGGCAGCCACATTGTTCCCATTACGAGGACCAGCTTGTGTCAAGTTGCAGTTTGGGGTTCAATGGAATGTAAAATTAAATATATTGTACCTAATGTACATAATTTTTCTTGCAGGTAAGCTGCCCTGTTATCGGTATTGCGGATTATACATTCGTGAGTTTCTCTCTCTTATTATCATTGTTGTAGTGATTTAGAATATTCAGTAGTCAGTATCTGTATAATTAAAACGCATGTGTAGAAATTGTATTAATGTAGTTAAGAACTACTACACGTCACCATCAAAAGCTACAGACGTAATTGACACGCCTCATTGATTTCTAAAGAATCGGCGACCCCGAATGTCCAGCCGGGGATTATCTGGAAATCAATTCGTAACGTGGTGTCATTTGTCGCATTCAGAACCGAACACTCGACAGTCGGTTTTAATTCGCTGATATTCACCTTTGATCCGGCTTTTCCCAGATTATATCGTCGTACGATAGCGTTTGTCCAATCATGCTTAAAACGACTTCGACACATTCGGACTGCAATCAAAGTTAACGATACTATTAATGATCAGATTCTAACAATTTTAGAGTTCTAAAACATGTGATTAGCTAGCTATGTGAGCACATGATTAATTTAAAACAACTTATACGAAAACATTATTATGTAACCGCACGGCTTAGTCCTAATAACCGTAATAAACATCAACGGTAACGAGCAATAGGCAGCGATTCGTGCTGATGTTACACTGTTTTTATACACGACCGGTACATGGGAAAGCTTTCTAATTGCCGGAACAATGCTGAGCCGGTTATTTGCCGGCGGCATTGTTTTTGTCCGCGCCGGTTCATTTTACCCCACCTTCCCCCGGGTGGGAGATTAATGGAATTTGAATACGCATAGCCTTTGTGTTCGGCTTTACGCGTAATTTAAGCGTATACCGGCCGGGTGAGTCGGCGTTTTGCTGCCAATCTTACGGTTAGACTCACAGGTGCGCGACTTCTCTTATAACCGTAACATAAAATGACGCGTTGCCGTACGAGCCGCCCGCGCCCGTGCCTCGGCTCCCTTTTCGCGGACTCACTGCTCACTCACAAATTGTATTTTCCATTTGTATCGATATCGTTTCACTAACTTAACGAGATCGTTGACGTGACCTAAATTGATTTTCAGTCGTTTTATTTGCTTTTAGAAGTTTGTCTTTAATTACTATTTTAGTGTTGATTAATACATATTTGATACGAGTTCCCTGTCGGTTCGATAAAAACTGTCATTATTTTGGTAGTCCCCTCTGTTGTCGTTCAATAAGCGTTGTGTGCTCATAGCACTATCAATCATTTCCTTGCGCCTACTACGACACGTCGAGAAATAAAATGTATTTGTTTTATTAGGACTACCTATTGATTTTGGATAAAATGAGCTTCGGCGGAAAGTAAATACAGGCCTGTTTTGTTTCAACTGCTGATATTATCATCATAATTACGCGCGGCGCTAATGTTACCCAAATAATAGATGCCTGTGTAATGTAATCGTCATAAATGTACACATGTGATATAATGGAAGCTGCATATCAATCAGCTGAAGGCAAGCCTGTTGTAGGCAGAATGCTGCAAATCCATTAACATAATTGAGCGGCTTGTATCCGGGACACTTCACGGTCCGGATCGTGGACGTCTTTGATGGCGCATCGCCGTAATGAGGAGCCGAAGCCGGTGTCATCCGCCCTAATGCATATTTACAATAAGAGCGACGAATTGAGACGCAACATTTTGATAACAGACTACACGACTTTTTCTGGCCTAGTAATTCAACCACGAACAAATTTCGGAATTTCATACTTCATGATCCCAAATAGATTTCGCGTTTAATACAGATTCATTTACCTATTTAAATTTTTGGGGCCCTTTACGAATATTTTATGCTATGACAATTTAATGACCACGTGATTGATTCTTAGCTTCAGTTAGTTGAAGTGCTGGCAATAAATCAATCACTAAATTAAATCCGTTACATTATTTACATTTTCATTGAAAATTGACGAGCACCGCGTTCACAAACAAACCACACAAAAACACAGAGGCTGCAAAAATAGCGTTTACCACACAACGGCGCTTTATGAAATTTTCGAAATCCCCATTTAATTGGGCGCCTGTGTCGCCACAAATTAATTAAAAGCGCTGTGGGATTTTATTAACTTATTGCAATTATATTTAAACGGTGCGATTACAGGGGCGCGGCGCGGTGCGGCGCGGGTCGCGGCATCGCCGCCTAATGTCATTGCGAGGGCGCTTACACGCCGCCTCGGAATTTGATCAAACTCCTCGTAATCGGGGACAAATAAATCTCACCATTAAAATTAACGGCGACCTGGGCGGCCCGCTTCCGACCTCTTCACTAGATTTATAATCACCTTTTAGAATATCGCCACAGTGATGTTAAGCCGTTGAATAGATATTAGTTAAATTGTACTTAATGGACGTAAGATAATACTATGTAAGCCACACAATAAAATTATTGTGGTTAGTTCTGTAGCAAGAATAATTACATGTTGGGCACTAAGACATTTACGACAGGAAAGCTCCTATTAATTTTATAAGCACGACTAAAACGTCCTGACCATTTCAACGCTCTAGTTTAAACTAGCAAAACGTCCTCAAATGTTACCAATTTGTTCGGAAAGCAATTAAAGAAAGACCGAATGCAATTTAAGTTAACCAGAGCAACTCGAAGTTTGTGGAGTTCACGATTGATTTGGCACTGAATCACAAATATTCTTTAGGCCTACTGCATCTGACACATTTTAGGTAACAGATTGGTGTAGGTGAGGGTCCGCCGACCGCCACAGACCACCGCATTGACAAACGACTCGGACCACTTCATTAATTGCGGGCCAGTCGGCCGCGCGACCGCCTCTAAATAATTCACATACGACTGCCCTCACACGCCGCAATCTACAGCGGACATGGCGAAAATTACGAGCTCGTTCCCTTGATGATTTTAATTTATTCAGCCTAATTAATTTAGATTTTTTAATACTTCAGCATCAGTCCACAGCAATGGGTGCCTGGCCTTTATCTGAATTTTATAGACATCGATTAATTTTAAGCTGACTTTTCGCATCGTGTGATGTAAGGGTAATCCGCTTTATTGGTCACTCACATTACATTTTTATTGACACTTTTAGGTGGATCTAATTCCCCACAAAATTAAAGGTGTTTTCTTATTTAATTTTAAAGATAACGTTTTCGTCAATATTCACTTTGAAATTACAATAAAAAAATGTTGCTTAACTGTGATATTTCCAAATGGATTAAATGTAATTTTTAGTTGGAATCGTTCTCGCTGCGGTTAGCCCAATGATACAGTTGCGTTTAAGGTAATCCATTACCGAGCCGCCAGCAGCGCACGCGTGCGGTTGTCGTTAAATACACGCATGACAACGGTAACTGATTTTAAACTATACATGTAATACTTTGCTACTTGTGTATTTTATAACTACAAGTTATTTCTTAGTTGTAGCTACGATATTGAAATTAAATTCAAGAACTCATTTAACATAGCTCAAAGCAGCTGACCTGAAAGTTCAAGCATGTTTACTTAACTCGTTCGATAAAACTATAATGAAAAGGTTCGATGAATACGTAATATCTTAATCTGAGGCGTCGAATGTCGATTGTGCAATAACAAGAGGTTGGATGAGCAAAAAGCAGCTGCGGACCCACTCGTAATGCTCGTAACTAGAGCCGTTACGCAATTCGGCAACGGCCTAATTGATTCCTCTCCCATTCGGCCAGACGGGCCGGCGCATTATCGAGCACAGGTGCCCCTGCTCTCCGGTTATTTGGCTTCTCGTGACAGACGCCGACAATATCAGCCCACCTCTGACTCGAGATCTTCGACACTCGTTTCTTCTTTAATTGTATATCGGAAATTCTTTTCGTGACGTGACTCGATTAGTAATAAAGATAGAACACGACGCTCCTAAACGGAAATGGCTTAATTTTCACGAGTTGAGATCTGTGCATCGGCACTCGTCCATCGCAACGTTTACCCTCCCCCGCCTATTACAGAAGTGTGTAAATCGAGCGAATGTTCGGCAAGGTGAAATATGGAGAATCGCTGGCCGATTTGTATGCGCGCTGAGTTCGCTGTAAGTAATTTATCTGAAAGTATTTTTGGTCGCGAGCGAAGGGGTGCGCGCTACTCTTACTCATTCCAATCGCAATATGTCTCCACTCATTCAATTACATTAAAAGCTTAATTAGGAATATTAGCGAAGAGTCCTCGTTTACTTCCATATTCTTTGGTAGTTGGTTTCTGTAAATTTTCTCGAGTTTGTTGAAGGATTCTTCGGTGCGGACCGAAGTTGTGAGATGCTTAGATGAAATGCGGCTCGCAATTAGAGTAATGGACTGTAACCTTTTCTGGTAAAATTAACGCCATTTCGTATAGCAAAAGTAAAGGCACACTCGGTACAATTAAGTTGTGGAGTGGAGAGAAATTGCAACAAGTGCAGCGGGCCTCGTCGCGTCCACGCTCCATTTAACCCACTCAGTTGGCGGGCCGTTCCGAAACCTCCGCCAACTCACCTTCACATAAACACCTATTACATACTACGTATTGTACAGTTCATTGCCCTTTTAGCTTCAATACAACAATTCGCTAGCTTCCTTTATTACATCTGTATTCACTAGTAGGAGAGCCAATGCTAGGGTAGTGTGCTATCGAGCTGTCGAGTTGCCGTCAACTTGAGTCTCATTCTGTTAATTGAAAACTTGTCCCGGCGCCTCCAACCGCGTCTCTATTGTTTACCTCAGCTTTTCGATTTTTTCCACGAATCTCCTCCTTTCATAAGTATCTCTTTTAACGAGTCGTCTCCGTCCTTCGTTTATATCGGGCTTCTTTTGGACTCCTCACAATGAAGCGGGGATGCACAATTGGTTTTTCCCGTTTTTTCCTTTCTTTCTAAAGTATTTTCTTTAGGACGTTGTCATCGTTTGAAGGTGCCTAGGCTTTTAAAGTCATTGCTTACATAACATGCTCGTATATAAAGCTACATTAAGGTTGATTAATTTAACACAATCCTTTTTCAGATTCTTTTTAAATTAATGTTACATGTCAATAAACAATGTTAAAAGTGAATTTGGTTAATCATATAAACTTTTTTC